TAGATTTAAAAATATCTAGTATCATTACTGAAATCCAAGAATGGGTCATCAAATTGTATCAATTATTTAATAATTCATATTGTATCTAATTTGTCACATATATACTCAATTTAGTTTATTGTATAAGTAGCATTGTGTCTTCTGAATGTTTTATTATCAAAAACAATTTGATATTTACAATATTTTACCACATAATCATCACCACTGCATTAAGTACATTCACAAATATCCCATGCATCCTAATATTTTAGCAAAGAAAATTCAGTAATAAATGATTTTAAGTACTACTACAACAATATTTTTAAACAGCTTCACATATCCAGGGCGCTGCTATTCTTCCCTTCCTCACCTTTATTGTGTGTTAGCATCCAAATAGCAAACATTCAGCCTTTGATTTGGGGGGATTATTTCACTTAGCATGATAGTCTTCGGTTCCATCCATTACCAGAAAGTGCCATAATTTCATTCTTTATGGATGAATAACATTCTATAGTGAATATGTCCACATTTTATGTATTTATTCATCTTTTGAGGACACCTAGGTTGGTTTCACAACTTAGCTATCATTAATTGAGATGCTATAAATATTGATGTGTCCACATCACTGTAGTATGCTGATTTTAAGTCATTTGGGTATATAAAAAAGGAGTAGGCTAACTGAGTACATAGTGGTTCAATTCCAAGTTTTCTGAGAAATCTCCATATTGCTTTCCAGAGTGTTTGCACCAATTTGTAGTCCCACTGGCAATATATGAGTGAGCCTTTTTGTCCACATCCTTGCCAACATTTATTGTTGCTTCTATTCTTAATGATTGCCATTCTGACTGGAGAGGGAATACAAGAGTAGTTTAAATTTGCATTTCTCTAATTTCTAGAGATATTGAACACTTTTTCATGTATTTGTTGACCATTCTTATTTCTTCTCCTGTAAAGTGCCTGTTCAGTTCTTTTGTCCATTTATTTGTTGGGTTATTTATTTTTCTGGTGTTAAGTTTTTTGAGATCTTTATATATCCTGGATATATAAAGATATATATATCCTGGATATATGCTCTATCTGAGGTGCAAGTGGTAAGGATTTTCTCCCCTTAGTAGGCTCTCTCTTCATATTCTTGATTATTTCCTTTGCAGTAAAGAAACTTTTTAGTATAATACCATCCCATTTATTGATTCTTCATTTTACTTCTATGCTTTAGGAGCCGTGTTGAGGAAGTCAGTTCCTAAGCCAACATAATGGAGAGTTGAACCTATGTTTTCTTCTAGTAGGCACAGGATCTGTAGTCTAATGCCTAGGTCTTTGATCCACCTAGAGTTGACTTTGTGCAGGGTGAGAGATATGGGTTCAATTTCATTCTACTACATTTGGAGTTCCAGTTTCCCAGAAATATTTGTTGAAGATGCTATCTTTTCTCCAATGTATGTTTATGTACCTTTATCTAGTATGAGATACCTATATTTATGTGGGTTTGTCTCTGTGTCTTCTATTCTGTTCCATTGACCTTCATTCTGTTTTGGTACCAATGCCATTCCATTTTTGTTACTATAATTCTGTAGTATAATTTTAGGTCTGGTATTGTGATGCCTCCTGCCTCACTTTTCTCACTAAGGATATCCTTGGCTATTCTAGGACTTATTTTTCAAAATGAATTTCATGACTGCTTTTTCTATTTCTATGAAGACATCATTGGAATTTTTTTTAACTTTGGGCAGGACATCGCATTTTCTTTTTTTTCTTTTTTTTCTTTTTTTATTATTAGTTGTTAAAAACATTACAAAGCTCTTGACATATCATATTTCATACATTTGATTCAAGTGGATTATGAACTCCCATTTTTACCCCGTATACAGATTGCAGAATCACATCGGTTAAACATACATGTTTTTACATACTGTCATATTAGTGTCTGTTGTATTCTGCTGCCCTTCCTATCCCCTTCTTATCCCCTCTCCCCTCCCCTCCCTTCCCCTCTCTCTACCCCATCTATCCTAACTCATTTCTTTCTCTTGTTTTTTCCCTTTCCCCTCACTTCTTCTTATATGTAATTTTGTATAACAATGAGGATCTCCTTCCATTTCCATGCAATTTCCCTTCTCTCTCCCTTTCCCTCCCACCTCTTGTCCCTGTTTAATGGTAATCTTCTCATGCTATTCCTCCCTGCTCTGTTCTTAGTTGCCCTCCTTATATCAAAGAAGAATTTGGCATTTGTTTTTTAGGGATTGGCTAGCTTCACTTAGCATAATCTGCTCTAATGCCATCCATTTCTCTGCAACATCATTGGAATTTTAATAGGAATTGCATTAAATCTGCATGACACCTTTGGTAGTATGGCCATTTTGACAATATTAATTCTGTCTATCCAAGAAAATATGAGATTTCTCTATCTTCTAAAGTCTTCTTCAATTTCTTTCTTTGGTGTTCTATAGTTCTCCTTGTAGAGTCTTTTCACTTCTTTTTTATATTGAGTCCCAAGTATTTTATTTTTTTAGGCTATTGTGAGTCAGATAGTTTTCCTGATTTCTCTTTCAGCTGATTCATCTTTGGTATATATGAATGCAACTGATATTAATTTAAAATCCTGCTACTTGCTGAATTTGTTTATGAGTTGTAGAAGTTTTCTAGAAAACTTCACTGGATTAGACAAACAGGGATTAAAAATAAGGGAGGAGGATGAGAATCAGAAAAACAGTAGAATGAATATGGTAAATCTTTCCTATGTTCATATATGAAAACATAACCAGTGAAACTCCACATCATGTACAACCTCAAAAATGGATCCCAATTAGAATGAGTTATACTCTGTGTATATGTCAAAAGTTACCTACTGTCTTGTATATTTGAAAAGAACAAATTAAAAAAGATTCATCTAAAAAATATATGATTAGAAAAAAGATAAGAGGTGGACACCAAATATAGATAAATAGATAATAGAGAGACATACTGCTTCTGAAAACATTAGGTGGGCATGATTTTCACCTTTACTTTAACAGTTGACATAAAGGTCACCCCTTTTAATTTACAAATGTTGGCAATGAGTATGAGAGTAAATTAATATTAGCAGCTAAAAAATGTGCATTAAAATGGCATCCAATCAGATAAATTCTAGCACCTATTGTGTATATTTTAGGTTTCCCATTTTCAAAATTATAAGAATAGATACATTGGCATTTTAAGGACTACAAGTATACTTAAATATATTAAAGAAATATTATATATATTCATAATGTCTATATATACATGTATATAAAGATACTTTCAATATCTCACTGACAAATGTATGTATGAGACATAAATTCATCAAATGTTAGAAGCTGATACTAAAATAAGCTTGGTATTTATGCTAATTTGGTCAAAAATCAGGGGAAAATAAAAAAATCTTCTCATAATGATAATACTTTACTTTTGATAAATAATTCACTAAAACTCTGTGACAATTATATGGAGAAATATGGTGTTATATTAGGTTGGAAGTTTTCTTAAAGTGATTTTTTTTAACATTTAAAAGTTTTAATCCACTTAAAATGTAAAAAAAATGGAAAGAACATAATTTTCAACTTACAAAAAAATCCCAATGAAATGCTAAACCATAACTTCCTCAAATCCATCACAGAACTGACATTAGAAATTAAAGCAAATCACCAAATATCAAAGAAAATCAGGCCCCACAAAAAAGAGAGAGGATGCAAGCACTGACTCTTCTATGGTAGGGCACTAGAAGAAGAAATACTGGTTCCCCTTGCAAGTAAATAAGAATCTTAAGGTAGTTTTTTTTTTTTAATTATGAAAGGTTAATACAGGAAACATGAGCTTATAGAATACTGGGAATCACAAACATATGAGGAATTCATACCCACTTTCAGAATCTTCCATATAGGCCCCTATCACTTGTTCTAGAGAGAGATCAGAGCCAGAGCACTAGACTCAAAACTGCACTTATTTGTGGTACATGCTCAAAGAAGAGGGGTGGCTTTTGTTATCAAAAGACATGAAGCTCTTCCAATGTTCTTGTCTCTTATCATAAGTAAGGCCTTATGCCATTAGGGGAGAAACAGCAATTTTTATCATTTCAGTACACAAGTGAGAGACAATTCAGGAAGAGGAACAATAAAAGTAACATACTCTATACCTAGAGGAGAAGCAGGAAACAGTCCCAGGCCCAGGATTCTCCACTGAGACTTTTAGAGGCTTCCTACATCATGGGAAGGAAAAGAAGTCATTTTCACACAAGATCCATCAAAAATTAAGGCAAAGTTTGATGGCACAGGAAAAAGAAGCAGGATCATTTTTAAAACCCACCACAAAACCAGGGAATATAGGTCCTTTCTAATACTGAAGCTAGACTAATACAACAGAACATACTCCTGCTCTCTCAAAACAAAACTAGCTAGCACGGAATACGCAATGGTCATCTACTTCTAGAGTATGAACATAAGCATAGA